TGGCCCGTATTGACGACGGCGCCGCCGAGCCCGGAGCGGGCGTTTGGCGCGAATTCGCCGTGGTCGACGCCGCTGCGGCAACCGACCTCGCCATCCCTGGTGGACTGCGATATGTGAAGCTGTCGCCACTTTCGAGGGCTGCTCTGCGGTTCAGCGGAGTGACGTTTTACGCGGACCACTGGGGGAACCTCGCCATCCGTGTGGGGGCTGCGATTTGCGAAGGTGTCGCGACTTTCGAGGGTTGTTGGGGGGTCCAGCGGAGTGACGTCCGACCCGGATTTCAATGAGATTTCGACATCCTAGAGGGGCTGCGATCTGCCAAGCTCTCGCCAGTTTCGAGGGCTTCTGGGGGGTCCAGCGGGATGACGTCCTACCCAGATGCAGATGAGACCTCGCCATCCCTGAGGGCCTGCGATATGTGGAATGGTCTCCACTTTCGAAGGTTGCTTCGGGGTTCAGCGGGGTAACGTCTTACGCGGACCACCAGAAAACCTTGCCATCCGTGGGGGGGCTGCGATTTGCTGACGTCTTACGCGGACCACTTGTAGATCTCGCCATCGACCGTAGACAACTTCTTGATCATGCGCGAACCCGGCATGGATTTGTTGGCCCGCGGGCCGTTCCTCTGATCAACTTCGTCGTCCTCTTCTGCCCCTGGCCACCTTCATTCAGCTGCTGCCGCGCTGACGGTTGGCCCCTCTCGCGTCGTTTTCCGGCCTTCCTCCCTGCCCATGTCCTCCTTAAGCCTGGGCTCTCGCTTCTCGTGCTGCTGTCGTTGTCGTGTGAACCGTGCCACGTGGGCGCATCCACGTAGCGCGCACAATATATAGCGGCGCCTGCGTTGTCATCGTCCTGGCAAGTTTGGGCAGGCTTTCTTCTCAGTTAATGCAAATGTGCTGGGCACGTCGCAAGGTAATTCTGCATCGAGCGTTCCCCACCGACAGCTTAATCATTTGTTTATGACGGCGCGTGTGGATTCAAACGCGCTTCAACCATGTTCCATTTAGTCACGTTTTCATGCTATGCTCCATCATGCCTTGCTATGTTATCGACGGGCCGGCGTTGCGTCGTGATGCCTGTGACGCTAGATGCGTCGTATGTCAGGACGTTCTGCTTCACTTATATGATTATTTTTTGCTTCTATATGGTATATCTTGTCATAAATGACACCATATGACTTGCGATGTTCTGCCAGCATATGTCGCCGTATGCTTCTGCTCTGTGCCACTGTGATATGGCATGGTATAGTATGCCAGGGTCTGCTCTAGTATGGTATGTTCCGCGATGTTGGTGGGACGTCGTCTCAGTAGTGCATATGTATAGTAGGATCATGCTTGCTGGTATGTTTCGCTATGATTTGCTGTCGTGCCGTCATATATTTTGCGTTGTGGTATGACCGGATAGGTTATTTTACTGTTTGTAATGTTATGTGTGGCTATGGTTTGTTTTATTGTGTTATGCAGTATTCTGCTATGTCATGTTCCGTTCTGGTATGTTATGTGATGGAAGGTTCGTTGATTTCTTGGCCCTATCAAGTCTAGTAACATCTGCTCTACTAGTGAGTGTCGCTATGCTCTGGTGTTATGTCATGCTGTGCTATTTTATGTCAACGTGTCTTATAAGATGTTCATATATGTTCGCTGATGTTTCGTCATGCTGTGTTGTGTCGTCTTCTGATATGTTCTGTAATCTTATGATCTGGTGTGTTCATTGATGCCGTGGTATGACATACTGTGTCAGGTCATTGTTATGTTGTGGTATGTTCTGTTATGCTCGTGTTATGGTCTGTCACGTTCTGTTATGCAATGTTGTGTTCTGTCGTGTTCGTCGTCGTTATGCTCTGCTGTCGTGGTATCGTTTGCTCTGTGATGCTGTGTCGTGATCTGATCGGTGCTGTTAAGGTGTGTTGTGTTGTGCTCGGTTGTTGTCCGTTATGTTGTGTTCTGTCGTTTTTGATATTGTTTTGGTATGTTCTGATATTTTTGGTGAAGTTATGTGTATTGATTGCTCGGCTCTGTGTAGTAGATTCTGATATTCTCCGCTAGGATGTGTTGCTATGTCCAATTGTCGTGTTATAATATGTTGTGTGATGGTGTGCCATGTTAGGATATGTGATGCCAAGGTGTCTTATGGTAGACTCGGTTCTGGTATGTTCTGTTACGTTATGTCGTGCTCTGTTATGTAATGCTCTGGTAAGTTTTGTGATGTTATGTTATGTTTCAGTTCGTCATGGCATTGTTATATTATGTTCTGTTATGGTCTGTCATGCTCGTGTTTGGTTCTGCCATGTTCTGTTGTGCCATGTTGTGCTCTGTCGTGCTCGTCGTCGATCTGCTCTGTTGTCGTGTCATGATCTGCTACGGAATGCCGTGTCATGATATGATAGGTTGTGTCAAGGCGTGTTATGTTATGTTCGGCCCTGTTATGTTATACTGGATTATGCCGTCTCCTGTTCTGTCATGTTCTGCTCTGGTAAGTTCGACGTTCCGTTTGTTGACGGCTCGGCTATGTATAGTATATGTTGATCTGTTCTGCTAGTATGTGTCGTTATGCTATGCTGAGCCGTGCTGCGATATGTTTTGTGATACCGTGTCGTCTCACGATCTGATATGTTATGTCAAGGTGTATTGTGTTATGTTCGGTTATGTTATGTCATGACGCGTTATGTCGTGGTATGTTCTGTCATGTTCTGGTCTGGTATGGTGTGTGATGTTATGTTGTGCTCTACTTCGTCATGGCATTGTCACGTCATTTTCTGTCATCTTCTTGCATGCCCGTGTTCTGTTATGCCATGCTATGTTGTGTCATGGTGCGTTCTGTCGTGTTATCGTCGTTATGTTTCTCTGTCGTGGCATGATATGTTTTGTGATGTTGTGGCATGAAATGATCTGTCCTGCCAATGTGTCTTCTATGTTATGCTCGGCTCTGTTTTGATATGTTGTGTTCTGTCGTCTTTTGTTATGTCATGTTCTGCTCGGGAAAATTATGTTATGCTCTGTGTTGTCACGGCATTGCTATGTTCTGTTTTGCCATAGTCTGTCATGTTCTTGCTATGTTATGTTGTGTAATGTTGTGTTCTGTCGTGCTCGTCGTCGCTATGCTGTGTCGTGATGTGATATGCTCCGTCAAGGTGTGTTATGTTGTGCTCGGTTATGTTTCGGTATGTTGTGTTTTGTCGTCTTCTATTATGTCATGTTCTGCTCTGGCATGTCCTGTGTTGTTATGATACAACTTTTGTCATGACACCGATATGCTATGTTCTGTCAGATTCTGTCATGCTCTGTTTCGTTCTGTCATGTTCTTTTCTGTCATGTTGTGTTGTGTCGTATTCGTCGCGTGTGCGAGGCGGGACACCCGGGACTCCTCGGGGATCATCGGCACGATTTGGGGTCTGACGGCCGCGGTATGTGGGTGGGGTTGGCCGGGGGGCTTGTTTTCGAAATCTAACCACCCCAACTTGTCGGGAAAGGAACGAGCGCCGCCTTCGTCGTCTCCGAGTTTGCGGCCCGCCCGCTCCCGGAGTTTGGAGCCGAGGCCCGTGGCCACCTCTCCCTTGGCACCAGAAGGCAACGCTGCAGGCAGTCGGCCAGGCAGAGTTCGTGCCTGGCCCGTCCTGGACGGGCCCTCGGGCCTCTGACCCTCGCAGGCTGGGCCCCTGGCGCCGAATGCACCCCCCCCGTGAACAAACGCCGGGCCTCCGTGCCAGCAGACCGCCAGGGGCCAAGCCTAACGGGGCGGCCGGGATGCGTCAGGCGGCAGAAGGCCGCCACGTTTTTCTTCTTCTTCTTCTTCTTCTTCCTCTTCTTGTGAGGTTCCTGGAAGGCCGCGCGGGACCCAACATGGGCAGGCCTGAGATCACGATCCCCTTTGGTCACCTTCGCGTGCCCGCCGCAAGACAAACACAAAAGGAGGGGAGGCGGCCTATTTTGCACCACAGGAAACTCGCGCACACGGCGGAAATTCAGACGGGGCCTCGGAAACGCCCGTGAGTTCTGGGCAAAGGCCTTCAGGTGGTGGGGCTGGGTCGGGAAAGCGGAAGAGGAGGAAGACGAGGAGGAGGAGGATGCAGTGGGAGGAGGAGGAGGAAGACAACGGAGGAGGAGGAGAAGGAGGAGGAGAAGGAGGAGGAGAAGGAGGAGGAGGAGGAATAGGACGCGGAGGGGGAGGAGAAGGCGGAGGAGGAGGAGGAGGACCAGTGCATAACACTGAACCGTGCCAGAGCACCATTCTTGCGATAGCAATGCCACGAATGAAATATACTCCTGCGTCCTGACAATCCTAAGTCGTGCTGGAATGCAGTTCCTAGAACTTCAACCGTAATAATCTTCGCACTTGCTGCACACTTGTGCAGGGAATGTGCGCGGCGCCGATGCGAGAGCAACCCTTTGACCAGGAACCGCCATCCATCCCTGAAATTTGCGCAAGCTTGTACGACGATTGTGCGGTGCACTACGACGATAACCACACTCTGAACATCGGCCCGCCTTCCTGCCTTGGAGCTGCTGCAATGTTTCAAGACGAATGTGCGACGCGCTCTGGCCAGAGCAGCATTTTGAAAAGGACCCGCCCTCCACTCTTGGAATTGCTGCAAAGTTTGAAAACGAATGTGCGCGACAATATAGCGAATACGCCACATTTTGAAAAAGACCAGCCATCCATCCTTGAAACAGTTGCATGTTTTCAAGACCAAGGTGCGCAGCGCTAGGGCGAGAGCCTCATTTTGAGAACGACCCGCCGCCCTCCATCCGTGAAACTGTTGTACATTTCAAGCTTCAGGATCAGACATGGAGGGGAAGCCCCGGGCGAACCCCTCGCCCCGCTCTGCGGACACATCTTGGGGTGCGACAGGGTGGAGTTGCTCACCAGGACACTGTATGGAGGAGGAGGAGCGGCAGCATGTTCACTAGGCCTCCCAACGCCGAGACTGGGAAGCAGGGCGGCCAGCGGGTGCAAGCACGGGGAGACGCGGGCGCGCCCGCCGCCTTCCCGCGGCCGTGAAGGCGCAGCTGGAGCCCAGAGCTGCTGCCTCGGGGCCCCAGCGCCGTGCGCTCGGCGGCCCGCTGCGAGAGCGAGGTCGCTTCGCGTCGGGGCGGACGAAATCGGTGGCCACACGCGAACCCTGCCCCTCCACCCCCCACGATTTCCAATGGGGGTGGGGGTTCACTTCGCTCGGGAGGTCCTGCGCGGAGTGAACCCCCACACCCCTCAGAAATCGTGGGGGTGGAGGAGTAGGGTTCACGTGTGGCCACCTACGACAGGGGGGGACGAAAGGGGGGCATACGGTCAGGAATTGTAGTTTCGCGAGTTGCGCCGGCGGCTCTGGCCCACCACGCCTCGGAGCGGCACGCTAGTTCATGTCCTAGCTCCCAGGCGTCAGCGTCCCGAGCCTTCCCCGACCTCTCCCGTCTTCAGGAGCGGGGCAACACGCCATCCACCCGCAAGGCGTAGCGTGTCGCTGGGGCCACCGCCGCGACACGCTAAACAAAAGTTCCCGACCGTAGGGAATGGGGGGTACGACATTTGCTGCATGCAGCTGGTTTCGGCGTCGCCGCCGGGCGCTTTCCTCGATACTGTGGCGCCTTTGGCGCCCAGGAAGCCAGCTTGTTGCTGGAGCTGATCCGCACCCCCCCGCTCGTGGAGCCAGGCGGAATTAGGCCAGGATGAGCTCGGCCAGATGAACTCGGCCAGGCCGAACTCGGCCAAGCTGGATTCGGCCCGGGTCGAGTTAGCCTGGTCGAATTCAACCGAGTTTTTCTTTGCCGAGTTTGTGGCTGCCCTACTACCCCCCCTTTTCGTCCGACCCGATCGGGGATTCGGGGTCACCGCGCGGCTTTGGGACTCGGGTTGCTCTCCGAGGACGTTTCAGGCGACCGGGGCCTCCGAGGTCTCAAGACCACGCGTTGACGGACCGCGCTGTGTGAAGTCTCATGGGGTTTCGAGGTCACCGCGCGTTCTGTCACCGCACGGTATTGAGACCCTCAATTCTCTTATCCCTGCCCTTTCCGTCCGACCCGATCGTGGTGGCCTCTCCGCCTCCTCAACACCGAGCGGCCCTCCCATCTACAGTGTGCGAGGATAGTCGAGCCGCCTTCTTCCTCGTGATATTGTTCAGAACTCTTCACGGCGGACCTGCCCCCCTCTAAATGGGCCGATATCTTCTTTTAGTCATTCCGCCGCTTTCCTCAGTTTCACAAATCGGCATTCCTACCATGTTCAACATAACAAAGTTAGCCAGCGTGGACCCCAAGCAGTGTGTTTCTGGCAACACGTTGTGCAATTTAAGTGGAGCAACCTATGTGGTGCCATCTATGGGGAATCGCAAATGGACATCCGCATAGGGATCCGCATAGAAGTGCGCATGAGGATCCGCCCTCATGGGGATCGCATAGGGACATCCATCGGGATCCGCAAAGGGATCTGCACAGGGATCCGCATTGGGATTCCCATAAGGATCCGCATGCGGATCCGCATAGGGGTCCGTATAGACATCCGCATAGGAATCCGCATAGGCGCATACGGATCCGCATACAGATCCGCATACGGATCCGCATGGCAATTCCCATAGGGATCCGCATACGGATCCGCACAGGGATCTCCCTAGGAAACCGCATAGGGATCCCGATAGAGATCCGCATAGGGATCCACACAGACATCCCCATAGGGATCCCAAAAGGGATCCGCGGTGGCCGCGGGCAAGTCTGCGGTGCTCTCTGGCACTTGTGGTGTTAGTAAGAGAAGGAGCAAGAGGAGGAGAAGGACGACGACGACGAGGAAGGAGGAGGGAGGGAAGGAGCATACCTCTTATACGCAACGTAGGGGCAGCAGCGCCTTCGCAGGCATGTGCTAGCCACAACTCGTCTCATGCAATCGTCGCTCTTCGTCGTCGTCGCTCGTCGTCGTCGTCGCCGCCGTCGAAGGCCTTTGTGGGCCTCCGGATGCCTCCAGAGGCTTTCGGAGGATTTGTGCAGGCCCCGTGGAGGACTCCAGAGGCGTCAGGAGGCTTCCGGAGGCTTCGGAAGACCTCCAGAGACCACCGAAGACCTCTGGAGAACCCCAGAGGCGTCGCTCGTCGTCGTGGCCGTCGCCGTCGTCGTCGTCGTCGTCGTCGTCGTCGTCGTCGCTCGTCGTCGTCGCCGTCGTCGTCGTCGTCGTCGTCGCTCGTCGTCGACGTCGTCGACGGTCGTCGTTGTCGTCGTCGGTGTCGTCGGTCGGTGTCGTCGGTCGGTGTCGTCTTTTTCGCCGTCGTCGTCGTCGTCGGCGTCGTCGTCGTCTTCGTCATCGTCGTCGCTCTTCGCTCAACGTTGTGCGCGTGGACGCTGCTGAGGTGTCCGGAACACCCGTTATCACCCGTTATCACCGTGTAAAAAGAAAACACCCGTTATCACCGCGTAAAAAGAAACGGTCTCTTGTAAACACAGGCGTTGCGGTGCATATGGCCGTGCTGTCACCCTTGTCAGGCCTGGGAATCACCAGGAATATTTGGGAACCCACGTTTTCAATGACGACCTCCTACTCCTCGACCCGCCTCTTCAGCTTTGCTGCTATTTGGGTGCTTCGCTGGGGAGCGCGACAGGACCAGGCTTTTATGCCTTGTACAGAGCCGCTCTTCTGGATGCCGCTGGACGGCCAGCGCCAGACCACTACAGGAGGTGAGCGAGGCTGCGCTTCCTCTAACATCGTTTCGCTAGAGGGTTACAACGTTACAACCGTTTAGAATGACCGCTGAAGAGTCCCACTGGGGGACGGGGAGACCTGGGACGTCTGGCCTGGCAGCCGTTTCGACCGAGACTTCCGTGCAAGCCATTCATGGAGTGTGCTGTTGCGTCGATGCTTGCTACACTGGTCCAGACGGCCGCAATCCCTTGCACAAGACATCGTAAGGTGCACATGGCAGTGCTCTCGCCCTTGACCACCTGCTCCTCGACCCGACTCTTCACCTTTGATGCCATCAGGGTGCTTTGCTGGGGCAGTACTTGAAACGCAGCTGTATGCAGCTGCCACCCTCCCTTTGGTACCTGTCACTCGTCCGCCCGACACCGCCTTGCCCGTCTCTTGTCCTCTGCGTTCGCCGTCGCTGCTGCCAGCGGGGACGCGGCCCTACAAATGGCAGTCGGTCTGCCGAGGCCGCGTACGAGAGCAGCGTCGTCATGGCGATGCTCGATGCCCACCACGGAATGCTGTCGCGCGTGCTGGAGGCCAGTGTGACCTCGTCGCACCTGCCAGCTCAAGCCTGGCGTGCCGACGTGGGCGGTGGGACGCATGCGGCCGCACCTCTTGGGGCTTCGGTGGAGCTTCATGTAGGGGGCCGGGAAGTGTGTGTGTGTATGTGTGAGGGGTGTGCCGGCATGGTCCGGGGGACCGCACGCAGCACCACCTCCTGGGGGCTTGGGTGAGGCTGACTTTGAGGCCACGACAACGACGACGACGAGGACGAGGACGGCCGACGACGACGAGGACGGCGACGATGAGGGGTGTGCCGACATCGTTCGGGGCCCTATATAGCTCCCCCCCAGGAGGACTGGATCGGAGGAAGGTCCCCCGCATGAGAGGAGTGGGGGTAGCTGATGCTGCTGATCGGATCTTTCTCGTCTTCCCTTTTCCCCTTCCTCCCCTCCGTATGCCTCGGCTCACTCCGCGCACTGCAGTGTGGACAACAAGCTGGCTCCACGAGAATAGCCTCCCCGCGCCAATGCCTGGATCACCAAGTGTGTGCCGTGCGTGCTGGGCCTACTTGACCACTCGTCCATCGAGTCAAACTTCTTCCTCCATCCATGGATGCGAGGCCGACTGGCTGTAGGCGGAGAAGATAAGGCTCGCCACTGCCATCTGCTGTCAGTTATGGGCTCACGTGGGCGATGCGCAGATTACGTCTTTGAACATATTGTCGACTCTTGCATGCGGTATGCGTCTGCCAAGATCTTGTCTTAGACAATACATGGCCAGAGCGTGGCCAGACAATTGCGGATGCACGTGCAACTGTCGCTCGGGCTCGGCGGTCTCTGCGGCGGCGGCGGTAGCATCTCTCTCAGTCGAGGACTCAGTAACACATGCAATTTTGATCCTATCCGGGGGATGGGGTAGACCGTCGCCCTCGAAGTCCGGAACACCGGAAGGCAGCAGTTATGATCTTGCTGTATGCATCACCGCAGCTCTTACGCAAGGGCTCCATATTGCCATGCAAACGAGCCTGAAGCACCATCAAGGGCCAGGGCAGTGACCGAAGGCGCGGGGGCGGGGCAACAGGGCGGACTGGAGAAGGACAGGGTCAGACTGCATAGGTATTCCAGCAACGCTCCTCTTTCTGAGAAAACCATGTAGGTTGTGGGGAACCAATCACCGGACAGCTCGCCCCTTGGCCCCCCGCCAGCCCCAGGCCAAGAGGCGAGCATATATATATATATATATATATATATATATACAGGCGCAGCACCGCGCTGGATGCGTAGCCGTCGGCTGGGCCAACCAAGCGAATGACGCATCGCGTGGCGGCTGGATGCCCGCGCCGAGCAAAGCTCTTCTCGGTTCCTCCATCCTCCTCCTCCTACTCCTCCTCCTCCTCCTCCTCCCCCGCAAGCTGAAAATTGCCACCGAAACATTCTCGCCCACTGGCTTAAAACTCCACCGAACTGTCCTCACCCGCTGGCAAAAGATTGCCACCGAAATATCCTTATCCGCTAGCTTAAAACTGCCACCGAAATATCCTCACCCGCGAAAGTGAAACTGCCACCGAAATATCATCACCCGCGAAAATCGAATTGCCATCGAAATATCCTCACCCGCTGGCTTCAAACTGCCTTCGAAACATCCTCACCCGCTGACTTAAAAATGCCACCGAAATATCCTCATCCACTGGCTTACACCTGCCACCGACACATCCTCACCCGCTGGCTTGAGACTGCCACCGAAATATCCTCACCCGCGGACATCAAGCTGCCAACGGAATATCCTCACCCGCGGGTTTAAAATTGCCACCGAAATATCCTCACCCGTTGGCTTAAAACTGCCACTGAAATATCCTCACCCGCTGGCTCAAAACTGCCACCGAAATATCCTCACCCGCGGGCTTAAACTCCCACTGAACTATCCTCACCCGCGGGCTTAAAACTGCCACCGACATATCCTCACCCGCGGGCTTAAGACTGCCACCGAAACATCCTCACCCGCTGACTTAAAACTGCCACCGAAATATCCTCACCCGTTGGCTTAAAGTTGCCACCAACATATCTTCACCCGCTGGCTTACAACTGCTACCGAAATATCCTCACCCGCTGGCTTAAATCTGCCACCGAACTATCCTCACCCGCGACAAAAGAATGCCACCGAATTATCCTCACCCGCTGGCTTCAGACTGCCACTGAAATATCCTCACCCGCTGGCCTGAGACTGTCACCGACATATCCCGACACGCTGGCTTAAAATCTGCCACCGAATTATCCTCACCCGCGGAAATCAAGTTGCCACCAGATTATCCTCACCCGTTGGCTTAACATTGCCATCGAAACATCCTCACCCGCTGGCTCAAAACTGCCACCGAAATACCCTCACCTGCTGAGTTACAACTGCCATCGACATATCCTCACCCGCTGGCTTAAGACTGCCACCGAAATATCCTCACCCGCGGACATCAAGCTGCCACCGAAATATCCTCACCCGCTGGCCTAAGACTGCCACCGAAACATCCCGACCCGCTTGCTTAAAACTGCCACCGAACTATCCTCAACCGCTGGCTTAAAACTGCCTTCGAAATATCCCCACCCGCTGGTTTACAACTGCCTCCGAAATATTCTAATCTGCGGAAATAAAACTGCCATCTAACGGCCTGGTGGTTCAGTTCAGTCTGTCTGTCTGTCTACCTCGCGAGAATCAAATTACGGGCTGCGCTCGTGAATCAAAAGCCTCAGCCCAAATTGCTCACCACGTGTGCCTCATGCTAAGCAGAAAGATGCTCTGGAAGCCAGCAGCGCTGGGGCATCAACCCAGGAACTTGCAAGCATACGCGTCACCAAGGAACAACAACAGCTGGATGTGGGGGAGGGCCTCAAACTCGCCCACTCCTCCTCCCACCCTGCGTCGAGACGCCGAAAGGGGCCCAGCGGAGGATTCTATGTTATCGTCGCCCACTCCGCGTCTGTCGCGCGCACTCTCCCAGGCGGGCGGATCTGGATGCTCAGGCCACCCCGCATTGATGGGAGGCAGACGTGGGTCGCCAAGGGCCCAGCCGCTGCCTGGGCCTGCCAGCTCCTCGGGGGAGGGGCAGTCGCCCTGAGCTGCTGACTGTGGGAGAGGGGGGCACGCCGTCAGCTCTGACCATGAACTCGATTGCTTCGCCGAACGGCCCCTCCGCGTCGACCACCAGGTGCCCGTCGGAGTCTGCTTGCCCAGGAAGACGAGCCCTTGCGGGCCGTCTGTCCGGCGGACTCGGGCCCTGATCACCACGCGCGTTCCATCCTCGCTGGTTGACTGGTCCTCGCGAGGGAGGGACACTGATGGTGACTCCAGGCGCGCCCAGCCTGGGCCTTCTCGCCATCGCGCAGCGCAGATCGTCTCGCGTGGGCCCCCCCTCCGAACGCTATGATTCTACCCGCCGGGATCTGGGCAGCAGGCGCACGGAGTGGATCGGACTTTCGAAGGTAGCTGACCAGTGTGACGACTAGTTCGAAGGAGGGCATGTCTTGCGCCATAGACAATTCGACAGCCTGCTTCGCATCTCCCCCCCTTGTGGCCACATAGTGCTGGCGCCGCAAAATAAGACTCTGAGGGAAAGTGCCGATCCACCTCCGGGGGGCTGGGATCTCCAGTTGCATCAGGCTCGTCCGAACCTTGGGCCGCTTGAGCTCGACGAGACCAGCTTTCAATTTGCTCAGCGATAGGTTCAAGATGCCGAATGGCCCGAACTGGTATGTAATTGGCCCTGACAGCCGCGGCAAGGAGCGGTAGGGGACCTGGGAAACGAAAGGAAGGGGCGCGGCGCGTCTTCCGGGATGCCGAGTCTCCTTGCCGTGAACGTTCTTTGTTCTGTCGTGGTTCGAACAGCGTCAACTGAGCAGCGCCAATCCAGCCGTCCTCATCTTTGGGGCGCATCGGCCTGATATGCCGTACGTGATACAATTGTGCACGCGGACTTAGTGCCCGACTAGCGCATTTGATCATGCAAGACGTGCGCCACGCGGTGTCGACGCGCGAGCGCTCAACGTCAATATAGATAAAGCGCTCGCGACGGTTGCTAATTCAGTAAATTCGTATTGCCCTTCTTCTCATGTGCGTTCATGTCCTCATCTTCCTCACTGTCTTACTGATTATTCTTCTTATTATTCTTCTGCGTCGTCTCTCATTGGTCCTTATTCTCTTAATTTTTCTCCTCCTCCCCACCCCTCGCTCATCCGACTTTGCCCCTCCTGCTCCTCCTGCTCCAGTTTCTGCTCCTTCTCTCCTCCTGCTCCCAATCCGCCCCCCCTCTGTGCCTCCTCCCCCGCTCTCGTCGTATTCCTCCTTGCCCCCCTGAAGCTGGTGGGGGTCGGACTGGTGGGCGTGGCGAGGGTCGCCCCGAGGCGCAGGAACGCCACGAGGCCAATATGCACGCCCAGACGAGGCTGATCCTGCGCTCGTTATCGGGCACCTTGAGGACATGCGCCGTGCTCCTCTTCCTCGTCCCCGTCGTCGTCGTCCTCCTCCTCCTCCTGCTCCTCCTCCTCATCCTTCCCCTTCCATTCCTCTTCCTTAAGCCAGTCGGAAGGGCGGGCTGGGCGTTTCGCCTGTGACTTTTTTTTCATGTGCGAGCCTGAAGTTTAAACCATCGCAACAGTTTCACAGATGGTGGGCGGGCCGCTTCCAAAATGCGGCTCTCGCTTTAGTGCCGCGCACATTCCTTGCAAACAACTGCAAGGGTTTCACGGCTTGAGGGCGGGCGGTTTTCGAAGTCTGGTTCTCGCTTTAGCGCCGCGCATTCGTTTCAAACATGCGCAAGAGTTTCACGGATTGAAGGCGGTTCCTTTTCAGCATGTGGTTCCCGTTTTCGCGCCGCGCGTATTCGCTTCATTAGCCGCAAAAAATTCACGGATTGAGGGCGGGTGGTTTTCAGCATGTGGCTTTCACTTTAGTAACGCGCACGTTTGTTTCAAACATTTGCAAGAGTTTCACGGATTGAGGGTGGTTCCTTCTCAAAATGTGGTTTCGCCTTAGCGCCGCCCGCCCTCGTTTTGAATCTTTCAACGATTTGCAAGAGTTTCACGGATTGAGGGCGGTTCCTTTTCAAATTGTGATTCTCGCTTTGGCGCCGCCTGCATTCGTTTTAAATCTTTGCAGGATTCTCGCTGGTTCCCAATGATACGGAGCGTGCCAGAATGGTGTTGGGGAGCGACCGGATTTGTCGGGTCGTAACAGTTACGTGAGTTCGCTGTGTTGAAGTTCCAGGAACGGTGTTTTGGCACGATTCAGGAGTGTCAGGACGCAGCGGTAACGTGATTTCGCGGCGTTGCAGTTCCAGGCATGGTGTTTTGACAAGTGTACGGGTCTTCATGCAGTTGTTCTCCAGCGGAGTATTTCCCCCAGTGAAGAGCAGTCTTTGTAGGGATCCATGAAGTGGGAACTTGGAGGGAGGGTTTCTTGCAACATCGTTGATGGGTCTTGGGTTTGCACTGGTCCTCCTCCTCCTCCTCCTCCTCCTCCCCCGGGCGTGCCGCGAGTCCTGCCGGCCGAGCTCTTTGGTCGGGAGCTGGCACATTTCCCCACCGCCTCTCAAACGAGGGTATGCCCCCCAGGAGCGGCGCGCGAACGGCGGCCGCTCCTCCTCTCGGCGGCGAGCCCAGGGGGGGAGTGAGAAGGGGCGCGCCTTTTCAGAAGGCTCGGACGTCCCCCGGCCTTACTTCTGAGGAGTTTTCGACGCCTTCCCCGACGAGGCAAACATAACTTCTCGGATGGCTGGAGCGCTTCTGAAATGCCCCGCCGCCTTCCGAGAATGCTTTCTCCTTCTCATTTCCTCCCCTCGCTCGCCGCCAATCCTCCCCCTCCTCCGAGAGGATCGGCGACTACAAAGGGTATGGTTACGCCGGGGCGTGGTTTGCGCTCGGCACCGTTGGGGCCTGGGGGGCACGACATTGTCCTCGTCGGGCCTCTTCGGGGCGCGGGAGAACTCTATCGAAGTCCCCGCGCGCACCCTGGGGTGCCCCCCAGGATGTTCCCCAGGGTGCCGTTTGCAAACCTCAGGCGATCGCAAACATGGATCAAGGGGGCGTGGATTAGCGCCGGGTCCCGTTTCCATGGGAAATCGCGGATTTCCGTTGCCGAACGAGGCGGCACCGCCCGTATTTTGGGGAGGGCACCTCCCCGGATCCATGGATCTGGCGACCGCGCGCCAAATCCATGGATCGCTGATCCATGTTTGCGCGCCCCCGAAAACCACACCTTTTGCAAACCACACCCTCTGGAGTCGCCGAGAGGAGCGCCAGCTCGGCGGCCCTGGTGCCGAAGCCGCAGAGGGCGGAGCCCGGCGCCGAGGGCTCCGTCGACGGGGGCCTGGGCATGGCCTCGCGAGGGGCCGAAGGCGCCGCCCCCGCGACCGCGCCCTCCTCGCGTGGGAGCCTGTCGAGGAGGGGAGGCCGGAAGAGTGGGCGGCGGCGAGGAGGATCGGGCCGGACGAAAGGGGGGGATGGGAAGGGGAGGTTACGAGATCTGCTGCATGCAGCTGGTTTCGGCCCCACCGAGGGGCCCATTCCTCGATACATGGCCGCCTCCCGGCGCCGGGAGGCGCCGGGAAAATCAGCTACGTGAGCTGATTCTCAACCCCCCCCCCTTTGCTATCCCTCCCTTTCTCCCGGCCCGAGAGGAGGCGGAGCGGGGCGGCGTGATCTGGGAGAGGGGAAGCGTGCAGGCCAACAGCTGTCCTTCGGACTGGGTCCGGAGCGCCGCGTCGCCTGGCATCGCCCTGGAGGAGAGAGCCAGAAGGGAGAAGGGAAGAGAAGGCGGGGGAGGGGGTCCCATGTCCTTAGGGTCTGCCAACTCTTTGGCGACAACGGCACTGTTGAGCTGAAGCCTGCGCCCATCCTTTCACGGAGCCCTATGCTACCCTCTTTAAACCACTGAGTTCAGGGAAACCTCCTGAACGCCAAATTGCAGTTATGCATTTTAGCATCAGCAAAAGCTGGTGGCAGGATAGGCTGGGAGATGCAAGTATTTTTGCGCCACTGACGTTGGGCGCCAACCGCGGCTCGGAACACAAGGGGGCACGAGGGAAAGGGCGTCCTCCGCACAGCGTTGCGACTCTCCACTGGCGACTCGGAATGTAGTTTCCTGCCGCCACTCCCTACCTCATCAGCGGAACCAACTCTTGGTTGGTTGGCGTCTTTTTGCCCTGCCTTTGCAGGGAAGGCCGACGAAACTAGTCCAAAGCTCTTGATGCCTCGACACGCCTCTGACATCCTCCACTACTTTAATGGTTCGCCGGTCGGACGCCTACGTAGCACTGCATGGAGAGGAGTGGAGGCAAGAGGACGAAAGGGGAGGGGACAGACGATCATCTCACGCGCCTTTCATGTGAGGGAACACTAACATGGGCTAAGGCGCGTGTATTAGCGACGGGTCCCGTTTCCGTGCGAAATCGGCGCGCGTTGTCGCCACATGAGGCGGCACTGGCTGCGTCGGAGGTACCTTCTCCGATCCATTGATCTGTCGCCCGCATGCACCAGATCCGCGGATCACTAATCCATCTTAGCGTTCACCCGGCCAACCCCTTGCAGGCGAGTAGATCTTCGACGCGGGATGCGCGCGACAGTTTGCAAGACTCCGCCCCAAAAGTTGCTCGCGAACTTTCCTTCGTGCGCGGCATGTTGCGGGAACGTCCTGGTATTTTTTTGGCTCCTGCGAGCGCCCCGCATCGACGGTCCCGGGCGACATGGATCAATCGGCGGTGTGATCGGCTGCAACATGTCAGAGAGAAAGGGCACGTCAAATTTTTCAGGCGAGCGTACCTCACCGAACGAGTTCCACTGCGAACTCGCAAATGCCTGCTCACAAACGTCTGACAAGCACATGTTTGCCTCGGAAAATCCCCCGCGGCGGATCCAGGCCAATTGCGAGTAGTTATTGTCAAGGCCTTACAGCCAGTACCGCCGACCCAGCAGGACGACGACGACGACGACGACCGCGACCACGCACACGACGACGACGAAAAAAGCGAGCCCATGGACTTGCCACAAGCTCGGAACATGGGGCGGGCGGTGGAGGGAAGAGGAAGAGGAGGAGGCGGAGGAGGAGGCGAGAGGAGGGGGCGGGGGAGGAGGAGGGGGAAGAGGAAGAGGAGGAGGAGGAGGAGGAGGAGGAGGACCTGTGTAAACCCAAGAGCCACCAACGATGTTGGAACAAACCCTCCCCCAAGCTCCCTCTTCATAGGCCCCTACAACGGTTCATTTCCACAGTGGGACCTGTGTCGTTGGAAGACAACCGTTTGAAGACCCTGAAGCATGCCAAAATATTTTTCTAGGTATTCCGAATTGTTGCCACATGTGTAGCTTCAGAGTCGTAAGTAGTGAGGAAGTCTCAGGCGAAACGCCCGGCCCGCTCCAAAAACTGGCCTCGGGGTGCGACAGGGAAAAGTTATTTAATCGCTTCGCTCATTCCGCTGGCCCTCGAGCGCTCTATGGGGCCTCTTTGAAGCCTCTTGGGAGCCGCCTCCTAGGGGCCCCTTGGGGGCCTCTTGGGGTTCTCTTGGGGCTCCTTGGCGGAGAAGGAATGGAGCCGGGGCCAGGGCCGAGGTCATGGGGCCGAGGCCGTGGCCATGGTGCCTACAGGGCCTGGGCCGGCGGGGCCGGGGAGCCAGCCTGGCTCCCCGGCTGGGGGCTGGGGCCGGGACCATGGCAGGGCCGTAGCCGGGGCCAGGGCCGTGGCCGGGGCCGGGGGCCGGGACGCTGGGGCCGAGGCGGGTGGAGGGGTCTTGAGCTGCACTGCCGACAACCCCCCGTCCCCCACAAGGGGGACCGCCCGGAGGAGGTGAGGGGGGGCCGTCGGGCCCTGCAGGGGAGCTGTAACCTGACCTGAGACCCCCCCCCTCTACCCCCCTCCCGCCGTCAGGGAGGGGAAAAGGGGAGGGAATCGGCTTAACTACGACGTTTCTTTGACGACGTTTCTTTTCCCTGTTCGTTTCTATATTTCCTTGGGACTGGCGACGACGACGAAGACGACGACGACACAGTCCCACACACGCCGACTGGGTCGGCGGATTTTTGCGAGTAGTGGGACGCGCTTGCCTGATATCCTCGAGGAATCGGGAGACCGCACTCAGACGCATCGTGCAGTTGCGTGAAGCAGTTTTGTGGCCCCGTCCTTCCCGCAAACAGCGCGCCCGTGCCGGTCCGAAGCCGTGACATGACGGCGAAGGTGTCGTTTACGGCGACGACGATGACGTGGGGGAGGACATCTTTCTATCCCGATCCGACGCCTAACTGTGCAGAAGAGCGCGCCCGCGAGGCTCGGACGGAGACAGCGTGGGAGCGTCTCTACAAGCACCGCC